CAAGAGCCTTTTTTATTGTATGCAGTAAGTTTTTCCATGTTGGAGTAGTCAATATATTTAATTTTCTTTGGTTTGCGAGCTTCAATAGTAGAAGTTTTGCGTTTCTTGGGAACAAGGGCAGTTGTTCCTGTTCTGGTACTGTTTTTAAAGAAAAGCGAACTCTTTAATAGATTAATTTTGTCTTCTCTAAATTACTCTTAACTCTAAACGCAGGTGGTCAGGAGAGAGAGATTGTTGATCTTTTTTGTAGTACAATATTATAAAATTACATTTGATTTTTTTTTTTGTATATATATATATGATAGCTTCTCTTACTTATTCTTTAGGCCGTTTTATTTTGGCTGCTGTTTATGCTGTAATAATAATGTCTCGTTATGTCAGAAGCTTTTAATAAAGTTACAAGTCATTCTCTAACTTGAAATAACAATGAAAATGAAGACACTAACCTCCAGGAAGGAACCACTTTTCAAGAAAATGATGAGAATGTACCTGTTGACATATTATATGATGAATGTTTATCAGACACGTTGAATTTACTTGAATACAAAAGCCTGTTGAGATTTGACGAAGTTAGACAATTGGAAATGAACCTACCAGGTTCTTAGTTCCTAACAGGAGAAATGTGCAAATATCTTACAAAAATTCATAAAGACAATACACTATCTAAGGAACAAAGAGCAACAATTCTTAAGTAAGAACCAAGAAACTCCAATATTAAATACTTATCACCAACTATAGACAAAAGAAAATGGAAATTATTGTTCTCTCAATCTAGAGAATCAGATAAAGTCATGGCAAAAATATCATACAGGATATCAGCAATATTTCACTCACTAGATAATGTACTTAGGGTATTATATCAATCAAAACCTCCTAATAGTGACCATTTAATGTTGCAAGCATGGGAAAATATTAAACATCACTTATTAATATGCAGACATTATTACTTAATGCATTATCTTTATCAATAACTCAAGACAACAACAGGTTCTTAAAACATTTCATCAAATTATCAGAACCCTTTAGATGCAAATGAAGTATTTGGAGAAGACCTTAAAGATTTGGTTGAAAGAGAGAATATCACAAATAATTTTATTAACAAGGTTCTTAGGAACAAAGCTCATACTTCAAATCAAAACAATACCAGTAATTTCAAAAAGCCAACTCTCTTTTGCCTCACATATAATAGAAACAATACAAAATAAACAAATTATTGGTTTCATAAGAGAACTTTTAATAACAATAATAATCAGGAAAATGGACAATGGGTGCTTAGGCAAGTATATCTGGGCACCAAACACAGAATTTTCAGTAACCCAAAACAGAATCATATTAGAGGAAGGTTAGACTAACATATGCATATATAAAAAAAATATTTGGACATTTATAGGTAACAGGCAAACTAGCAGAAGGTTATACTTTCGAATAGACAAGCTTATTCCCTTTACAAAAGCAAGAGTTGTAGTAGATATTAATAGCAAAATGACAGGACAACAAAATAATCAGACAAAAAATATGGATAATGATTCAAAAAGGTATAGTAAAGGAAGTTTTAAAAGAAGAACAATGTTTCTTATCAAATATTTTTATAATTCCCAAAAAAGATAGTGGGTCTTGAGTAGTTATAGATCTATGAAAAATAAACTCTTATATATGTTTTATCCATTTCAAGATAGAAACTATCGAGCATGTAAAAACTATAGTTCAAAGAAATGATTATTTCATATTAGTAGATATAATAGATGCTTTTTGGTATATACCCTTATTGTTATATACTTAGCTTTATTTTATTTTCAAGTTTATTGAATACTGATTCTAATTCAATTGCTTACTTTTTGGGCTAACAAGCAGTTTCAGAGTGTTTACAAAGATCTTAAAACTGATAATTGTATAGGCACAATCCAAAAGAATAAGGATAATAGCATATTTGGTTAATATATTGATATGTGTATGAAAAAAAAGAAAGCCAGTATATATATGAAAATAGTGATAGAAAAGTTAGAAAACCTCGGGTTTATAGTCAATCAAAAAAAGTTGGTATTAGTACTTATATAGGAAATAAAATATCTAGAATAGTGTTTGTACTCAGCTAAAAAAAATGTTACTCAGTTAATCGGTAAGTAAACTCATGGATTACTTGGGTAATCAATAGATATACCTGAGTATAAAATCTTGCTCATTATACTTGAGTAAGTTGTTATGTAATTGGTTATATGAATTATTATAGCCAATTAAATCTTATATTTGTTGGTGAATCTACCTGGGTAGCTCTAATAATTACCCAGTTTTCATAATTTCTAAACACCTGATAAAAAATCTGCAAAATGATTTTTCAGCTATTCTGGTTAAGTTATTATTTCGGCATAATAGATTCAATAAAATTACAAATTATATGTACTGTACGTACGTATATGATTTTTATATTAAATAATACAATAGCACATGATTATTAATCTGTATTACAAAAATTTTGCTAACTTTGTATACTAGTTCTGAACACCATTATTTATATAACAAAAATTACATATCAGAAATTTACATGCAAATTTTCACCCTATATACTGATATATCTCTATATCTCTATATATATAAAAAACATATATATTATATGTGATACTCTTCTATGATAAAATTTTAACATTATAAAATATCAGTATATTTAATATTACTAAATTTTGTTTAAATACTTGTCCAACATGTTTAGTGCTATAGTGTGTTTAGTTTGTGCAAAAACATATATATTTCAAATTACAATATAATTTATATATATATAATATAACATAAATTGTAATTTATTGTTATGTATCGATCATACCAAAATCAATAACTTAACCAGATCAGCCAAAAAACCATTTGCAAATTTTTATCAGATGTTTTAGAAATTATAAAAATAGCTATAACTGGTTAATCTAGGTAATACCTAACCTGAATATATATTCACTGCTAAAAACTAGATAATTAGTCAATTATATAAAAGTATTCTTATTTGAGTATTATTTGGATATACTTACTCAGGTAATACTTGGGTATATCTACCTAGGTATTACCTAGATATATCTACTCAAATAGCTGTAGTCATTATCTGGTGAGTGAAATATTGCTGATATCCTGTATGATATTTTTGCCATGACTTTATCTGATTCTCTAGATTGAGAGAACAAT